AAAAAAAAAAAAAAAAAGCCTAGGCAATTAAGGGAACACAGCCAGGAGTAAGCACTACAAGTAAAACAATTTGGGGCTTAAACAGTTTTTATAGCTAATCCCACAAAAAATCCAAGAATAATAAAGACAAAAATACATTTATGAAGTCACAAGAAGCAACTAGGAAATATAAAGACAACATATAATGGACCCACATATTTTGGTTTCCTTAGTTTCTCTCATCTATTTTAACTCCTTGCCATGAAGGCTGAACAATTTAACAGCAAAGTTTAAATGCATGAGATCGAAAATTTTGTAATAAATGGACAGAAGAAAAATACATGTAGACTTTCTACAAATTTTTCTCAGGAAACAAACCAAAGATTAAAGCAATTCAAATCACATAAATTATTTAAATTTAGTGCCGTCAGCATTTCTGCTTACCTGCCATACACCCACAATTGCATTGGCTACTAATATAAGTAAAATTACAAAAGGCTCTACAAAGGCTGTAATTGTTTCTTCACCTTCTTCAAACCAAGCCAAAACCTAAAAGAGAAATGGCACATGTTAGAATTATGTGTTTTCAGGGTTAGTGCCGCTTTATAACAAAAGTAGCTAGCACTAAAGAATTACAATAGACAAAATCTATTGTCTTACTTTCTCTAGAAAAAAATGGCAGCAACATTTATATATGACACAAACTACTTAGGTTCTGTTTGTAATTCTTGGTACTCAAAACTGTACTTCTTTATCAGTATCCTTAAGAGTTAATTTTTTAGCTGGGTATGGTGGCTCATGCCTATAATCCTAGCACTCTAGGAAGGCTAGGTGGGAGGATAGCTTGAGTTCAAGAGTTTGAGACCAGCCAAAAACTTAGCCCAGCAAGCTACTCAGGAGGCTAAGGCAGGAGGATCACTTGAGCCCAAGATTTGGCTGTGAGCTAGGCTGAGGCCATGGCACTCTATACTTTTAGCCCAGGCAACAGAGTGAGATTCTTTTTTTTTTTCTTTGAGACAAGAGTTAATTTTTTGATTTAATAATTCCACTTTAGAATCCAAATAAAATACCTGTATGGGGGAAATAAATCCCATTCATTTGATAGGTATATATTGATAAAAAGTAAAATTTAAATCCCTAATTTTATTAAAGTAAAAAGCGATCATCAACAGCTATGTTGATATGGTTAATAATCATATCAAGTCATATCCATATGCAGCATAAATTCATGGTAAAACGTGACTCGACTCTAATTTTAGAGGACATAAACTGTCAATCCCCCACGTATTTTCAGTAGTATTACTGAGGGTCATCTCAGAATTACTACAGAGATTAGGAATGTATCTTGAAGATTATCTTCCATATGTCATTGAGTATAGCAACATAGCACTTCAGAAGTTAAGTCCAAAAATACCATATTCAACAATGAACACCCCTCCAAGAAAAATAAGCAGAGAATTAAATAAAACTTTAGTTCAGACTGGGTGCCTGTAGCACAGTGATTATAGCACTGACCACATACACTGAGGCTGGTGGGTTTGAACCCAGCCTGGGCCAGCTAAAATGACAACTGCAACAACAAACAGCCGGGCATTTTGACGGGCGTCTGTAGTCCCAACTACTTGGGAGGCTGAGGCAAGAGAATCGCTTAAGCCCAAGAGTTTGAGGTTGCTGTGAGCTGTGATGCCATGGCACTCTACCGAGGG